TAGGCAAGAATCACTAATCTTTGCTTAGCCTGGAAAGGCTAAGCTTAAACAATGCTCAACATCAACATTCAGAACTTGAAGATGGGTTTACATAACACTCAACCTTCAAATGATTTGCTAAGAATCAGAGATCTAAAGGCCTAGACAAACACGTATCTATGTCTTTACTTGCCCTTGAAAAAATAATGTATTTTTATTTGAAGGTCAAGTAAAGAGGGGCAATTGTAAACACTATTTTTTGTTCGGGTTGAGAATCCGAAGGTGGAAAGCTTTAGAAATGAAGGAAATGTCCCCCAATAGGAGTTGTAGACTCAAGGATGCTTCAAAAGGAGGTAGTGGACCCTTAGAAGGCATTCCAAGAAGTCAAAGTACCAAGAAAATAAGTTTTTGAACAGTGGGAATGGGCATACTAGTCATAAGAACAACCATACTCAATGTCACTAAGTATGGTCATTCCAAATTGGGTATGACCATTCCTAAACAAAAAATTACACTTGCAAAAATGGGTGAGAACGACCGTTCCCACTCCCTGATACCTATAAATGGAGCTCGACTCCACCACACTAGACACACCTTCCAGAATTCAAAATTTTGGACTTCTTTCTCTTGACTCTATTTAGATGCACTCTAAGTAAAAATAAACTCATTGAGAGCCTGATTAAGAGATCTTAAGCCCTTCGGTTGAGATTTTAGAATTTCTTGTTTAAATTTTCAAGTGTTGGGGAGGCTTGTGTAGAGTTAGAAGGCTGCCACAAAGCACCTTAAAGTTTTCCTTCTAATAAAAGTTGGTTTCAGAGGTTATTTTCTTTATTCCTTGTCTTATTTATTCCTTCAAATAATGTATGTTTATATTATCATTCATGTAGATATCATATTCATATATCTGTAATAAAAGGGTAAAAAATAGTAATCTCCGCTTAATCTTGTTAATGAAAACGTCATGAGGTACTAATACTAGGCACTATGGGGTGCTTAACACCTTCCCCATGCGTAATCGACCCACATACCCAACTCTGTTTTAAAAATGATTTTCATTTTTTGATGTTTTGAGCAAAATATCGGTGACAACTCCATGAACCTTTCAAAACCATCGACGGAGGATTAGTCCAGTCATAGGGCATTCTGATGTTGGTGAGATTTTCAAATTGGACGTTAGGCCATCTTTAGTCGGGTTCCGATATGAAGTATTAAAGAAGACAAATGTAGTTGACAAAACAACAATATAGACATAGGGGGAGCTAAAACTTTAATCTTCTAAATTAATTAATTATTTTTTATTCATCGCTTTAACATGTTGCCTCTTGGTAAACATTTTCTATTACTCTGGTTATATATGATTTTTGTCGCTTTGTCTAAGCTAGTCGTCATGCATGTGTTTAAGGGGAGTCCCATATGCATCTACATATAGGATAATTACATTTTACTTCATATGTTTAAAGCTCGCTTTAAAATGTTTTAGATGAAAAGTTTTTGGAAACAAACAAAGCACATTTTTTTTTAAAATACAACTTAATCGTTGTCAATTTCTAAGTCTAATTGAAATCAATATGATAATCCTAGTTTCCATTAAAAAATTGCTTATTGATTACGCAAACGTCTTATCTTTTGAATAATGAGCACAAATTGTTCAAATCTTAAAAGATCTTTCTAAATAGAACGTCTCTTCCTTTAAAGATGATTTGTTTTAGTTTAAGAAAGCTATTTATAAAAAATGTGTTTATCATCATCAAAAAGGGGGAGATTGTAAGATCAAAAGGAAGCCTGGAGTATCATCTGGAATCTCTTGAAGTGTTATAAGTTTTTATGATAACAAAAACTTTGCTAAACAAATTAGAGTTTCATAAAACCACTTTCTCTAAAAGCAACAAACGAGAAGCCAAATTTTTTTTCGAAAGAAAGCATTTCAAATGAAGTAGTGACATACTTCATTTGTAAGACAAAGCACACTAGACGAAGCATATGATCAGAAATAAATGTCATATTTATTTCTCTTTATACTATCAGACTATTCCTTGAGGAAGTATTAATACTTTATTTCTTAACATATCGAATAAGGAAGGTTACTAAAAAAACGAAAGCTTTCAAAAAGGGAATATCAAATCACTATGTCAGGATAGAAAGAGAAAATCATGGATATCTCAAACAAGACACTGAAAAGAACGGCTGTACTTCGACACCATTCTATCACACTCAAAATAGAAGAAATAGATGATAAGTAGCTGCCTAGGTCAGATAGGAGATACACGAATCTCTTATCATCATTTAATGCTCGCATTAAATGTATCTACAGTACCCTCTAAAGAACAGCTGGGAAGACAGATAAAGTAGCTCAAGGAAGTTTGAATGTTTAAATTTTGAATGTTGCTACAACGGTCATCTTCTCTGAAGTTGTTATATAAGGGTCAAGCCCTCTAAAAAAAATAGAGGACTGAAAGATAAGTAAGAATGCACAATGTGAATAAGGATGAGCAAAACATGAAATAAATAGTTGAAGCTCTACGAAGAAGATTCATATAACAAATCTTATATAGAATTCTTTGTAGGCTACTTGTGCAAAATTTGTATAGCATCACATCTAGAAGAGATGAATATATCTCTATAACTCTTATCAATTGTATTTGAAAGGGATAAGCCTAGAGATGTTTGTTTAAAAGAATACTTAGTGGTTAAGCTTGAAGAGACTTGTTTAAAGAATACTTAGGTTTAAGCTTGAAGAAGTTTGTTTAAAGAATACTTGAGTTTAAACCTAGAGAAGCTTGTTGAAAGAATACTTGGCTTTAGCGAGAAGGGACTTAGTAAAAACTACTTGTATCTTGTTGAAGATAGTGGAACTCAATCTGATTAAATTGAGAACTAGACGTAGTCTCTAAGTTGGAGACAAAACAATATAAAAATATTTGTCATTACATTTGTTTTACCACTTTTTGATTACCTTTTAGTACTTCCTCTATTTATATTTTTCACTACCTCACTATAAAAATGTGAGTTTTTGATTTACATTATTCAACCCCCTTCTAATGTGTATCTTTCTCTCTCATACTCTACAATTAAATACATGAGATAATATCTCTTTAAATAAAATAATTTCGCAACCTATATTTTTCTTATCTAACAACATTTTTATCTATATAACTTCTCAATTAATCAAAATCATAATATATATTCAAAATACTTATAATAAAAAATATATTTATATCTCTAATAATTAATATAACTAATGATTTCACAATTTTTTTTAATTAATAAAAACAATGTAATTATAAAATCTATTATATTAATTATAATTTTCTTTTAATAACTTTAAAAAATTTAGGATGTTATATATTAAGTTCAAATTAAATTAAAAAAATCATTAGTCATTCATTTTAATCATGCGAAGGCACGAAATAGATATTTGAAAATATTTCCAAAAATAAGCCTAAAATTGAAAACAAGAAAAAGTCATTTTCATTGTTTTGTCTTCCAGTGAAAACACGGTGGCATGGCTGTAAATATGAATATTTTAGATTCTGTTTTCTTCACATGAGTTGAATAGGAAAACCATTTTAGATAAGACTGAAACTGTGTAGCCATATCATTTCACTCTTTATTTATTCATCTGGATCCATTAATTCAATTTGTCTGAAAAAATAAAATTCATATAACACAATTTAAAACAATTAAATAAATGGTTATATAATAAGCTTTTTGGTGCAGTTACTTTTGGCATATTCACTCTGGCTGCCAGTAGATAAAACTTTTAAAATATTATTTTATTTCTTAAAATTATTAAATTTCAGCTACTATTGTAAACATTATTCATTATTAAACATATTAAATATTATTTTTAATGCTGATATGTTTAATTTTTAATTCTAAACATTTATTCATTAATTTTAAAATTATTGAAATTTACCAAACACTTTTTTTAATGTTTTCATTTTCAAAAATTAGAAAATGAAAAATCAAACTAAACATTTTTTCTATATTTCAAAATTTGAAAATGAGAATTATTCTTAGAAAATAAAAAATATATTTTCTGAAACCAAACATTCCGATAGCCTTGTAGATAAAAGCTTTCTTTGAATAAAAGTTTACACATTAGAAAATTTTATATTTTAAATTACATTAGTTAAAAATTATCTTCTCATAATAGTTGCGGTGAACATCAACCTAAGACCTGATCCTAAATTAATATATATATATATATATATATATATATAAAGTAAATGGGTAGGTTTGATTAATTTCGATAAGGTTCTATTTAAGTTTTTGAATCAATCGATATCCAAACTCAACTGTCTAAACAAAATAAAGGACAAAGTAATTATTATTCAGGTCCAAAAAATAAGTTTGTTTTTTTCATCTTTAATCTTTATTACTGATGCATAAAAAACTCTAATTGATAGTGTAGTTTGTAACTTCCTTTTTTTATATCATGTACCTAAAAAAATTATTATACTATTAAAATTATTTCAAACTTGAATAATTTTATACATTTTGAGTCTAAACGAATTAAATAATATTTGAATGGCTAAATGTATAAATAAAAAGGATATAAATATTGAAAAGAATAAAGAGATAATAAGTTAGATAAAAGTTTAATTTGGACCAATTAAATTATTCAAAGTTCAATACATCTCTACCTATAAAAAATCGTCCGCTAAAACTAAGACTCAGTCAAATGAAACCCACCTACACCTTTGATTGAATTTGAATCTAAATAATATGACCCGTGAATTATATCGATTTGGGCTATATCAACCCGAAACTGATCAATATATTTAAGTTTTGTTTCAAATATCTTCATCATAATTTTAATATTTATCATAATATTAAATTTATTATATTATATATAATAATAAAAAATTTTAATAATACGAAACGAAGCATGCAAGTATGGACACTAAACGAGCTAATATGTAATATACGCACAAACATAAATGTGAGAAACCAAATATTCATTTAACAACTAATATATATCATAAGTTTATATCAATACTATATCATAAGTTTAAAACTTATATAAGTTGCATCATATGCAGAATCCAACTGAAAATTAAGCCAACTGAAAATTATTAAGGAACAATTTAAACCAACCTATAGGCCTATTAAGTATCATTTAAATAGAAGTTTGCAAGTTGCAGAGCCCCTTGGGCACATGGCCAATTGTTGTAGCATTCCAAACTTTTCCCACATATTTAAGCCATGTTGGATTGTCATGGTTTGCAAAGCTCTTGCATGATGCAATATATATTTCACAAATTGCAGCTCACACTCTGTGCCTTTATAATTCATAACAGTGCACCTCCTAAGCTGTGAAGAAATGCATTCGGGAACAAACCGTGGGCAAGCCCAATCTTGGGGGAGAATCCTTGCCATAGGCTTATTAAGCTCAAAACTTTGAAGGTTGGGGCAATGGATAAGTAACTCAAACACCACATACCACTTAATAAAGGTCACAAAGTTAAGCTCAAGGTGAATTAAATTTGGGAACAAAGGAAAGCCATGTTGGTGGTTGAACTGCAAGAATTTAAGATAAAATACTTGTAAGTAATTCAAAATGAATAATATTAATAACACAAAATTTTTCCTTTTAAACACCATCACTTATTATATAGCGAAACTAATGTGAATCTTATTAAAATATGTGGGTCCCATTCTCTCTCTAATGAGAAAGCATTTTATCACTCAATATTTATGTGATAATAAGACAAAAAATTTTACAATAATTTTTTTTTATCAAAAAGTTCTTTTACTCTTAGTCAAAGATTGACGAAAAATAAGGAGAGATCTAGGATACAATAATTTTCTAAAATATAAAAATAATTTACCAAGCTAAGCAAATTTGTCATTTTTGTTCATACCTCTAAGAAGAATCGAAGAGATTTCACATTAGACACCACCTCGAGAGGAAACTCAACCCCAAAATTAGTGCCAATATTCGCCCTCACCAATTTCGGCATGCTTTGATACCCCACAATCGTACCAAAATTGACACGATTGGCTCTCAACTCTTCCAGAACGGGACACCCACGAAGAATCCTGGAGATATACCCAATCCCTCCCACCCTAACATAATCCAAATGTAGTATTTTGAGCACGGGCAAGTCAACAGATTGAAGAATGTCCACACCAACCTGCCATAGCTTGAGAACAACGAGGGTTTTGCAATTGAAGACACTACTAGGCAATGGGAGCGTGAGGGGCATCTCGAGGTGGAGGTTCTTGATGCCCCGCTCAATGATAGCCTTAATCAATATGTTGAAGTGGGCCTTTGGGAAGATGTAGTTTGGGCCCACGCGAGTGTTGATGCGTAAGCGTACAAGCATGAGAGGTTGTTGTGCATTGTGCGAGAGGAGGGTGGCATAGGCAAAGTTTAAGAAAGGGGAGTAGATACAACCGCTTTGGAAATAGGTTTGATCGTCTAGGTGGAGGTCGAGAGCAGGGACGGAACGCCATAATGGACACCACCTCTTGGAGAGACAACTAGTGGCGATGGTGTCACGAGTTGGGAGAACAGAGAGAATGTGGCCCAAGATTCCATCAGCTAAGGCTCTAATCCTATCCTCCATTTCCATTTCAAGATTATAATGAGAAAGAAAGGAAAATGGTGATACTAAGAAAGGTAGAAATGGTTGTTCTTATGGGTTCAATAGTACTTTGTGTAGATATGTTATATAGACAAATTCTTGAGTGCATCATTTAATATATACCTTATAATATGCCGATTCTTTGGTTGACTAATTTATCATGAAATTAATTTGAAACGGATGTAGCAAGTTGTAACCAGTTATATTATTTGCATATGTCATTTATTTATTTTTTTATAAAATTATGATAACGCCTTTCGAAAGAAAAGAAAAGGCTAAGAAAAGGGATTCAAAAGTTTAAGAGTAAGGATGAGAATAGGTCAAGTCCTTAAGCAAGGACTTATGACTTAACTTGTTTAAAGTCTAGTCTAACATGACCTATTTATTAAAAATGTTAAGTTTAAACTTTTAAAAAAATCTATTTATTTAAAAAGGCTAAGTTGATGCTTATAAAAAATTCTACTAGACTTGATAGGCCAACCTTACTATATCTTAATACTACTATCCAATATAGTTTTTGATTTTTTCTCGCTTTTTTATAGGTATAATCATGTCATTGTTAAATTCAAATATTTCTTATCTCAATACTACTTATGTATAATTATAATATAACGAAGTAATTATATATATTATTGTGAATTTTACTTTGTACATAATATAGTAATAATAATAATTATCAAAGGATATTTTTCATTTTCATGGCTGTTTATTTTAAATATTATAAATGAGATATGATAAATATTTAGAAAGTTTTTTGTTGGATAAGATTATATTCTCTCATCACTCCTATACATGAGTTGTCCTTGTTATGTTAGTTTTTTATAATAATATTTTAAACTCTAAATTTTAATAATACTAGTAAAATATTTTTTTATCACACAAATTAAAAAAAAACTTGCATGCGTAATTAAAAATAAATTTGTTGCCTTATTGAAAATTATGGATATTAATATATTTCAGAATGTTAATGTAAATAAGTTTTTAAATAGGCTAATAATAGGTCATACTAGGCTTTTAAAAATATCAATTCAAGCTTAGAAAAAAGTCTACGGTAGATAATAAGTCAACTTTAGACTTAATTTATAGAAAAAGGCTAGCCAGTATATTCAAAACCAAGTTTGCTTTAATCCTATCCTTAGGAAAGAGAAAAAGGAAGTGTGAGTAGTGCATTAGAAAAACTATGTTGGCGGTGATGATGTCGTCCAATGCAACAATAGAGTGAATTGATATTAATGATGAGAAAATTTCAAAAAAGAAAAGAAAAGAAAAGAAAAGATAGGAGAAAGGAGTAAAGAAGGTGCATAGTGACAAAATAATAGTTCTATACAACCATAAAAGGTTGACAATGGAGGAAAAAGAATGATAAGGAGAAAAAGAGAAGGGGGAACCAACATCCAAGATTGAAGCAGCCAATGATAGGAAATGTTCTATTTTATTTTCTCTATTTTTTATCTATTTTTCATTTTTTTAATTTTTATTTTTGGTTCATATATTTAAAAAAAAAACTTATTCACTTAGATGTAGTTAAAACAATGGCACATGACAAAGATCAATAGCAAGGGAGATAAAAAGGAGAGGCAAAAAGAATAGAGAGACAACTGATCCTTTCTCTTTTTTATTACTTTTCAATTTTTGAATTTTTTCTTTTATTTCCTCCATCATTTTTTTCTACTTTTTTTTTTCATTTGCAAGCTTGGATGTGTGACACCCTCTACCCTACATACATGCATACAATAAAATAAAATAATAATTTTGGAAAATACTTCATTCATCAACTAAAACTATGGACAAAAAGGTACCACATTCAAAATCTTGTTTCCAAGAACTAAAAACCAAAATAAATAATTACAAAAAAATCATTACACTTTGCAGAAACTTTAAAAATCAAATAAGTTAAAATTTTTATTTCAATAAATAAAAAATAATTTTTATGCTAAAAAGTTCAATGTCACATCCTATTAGACTAATCTCATCAACAATTTAAACTCCTCAAAAATCAAAGTCACCAACATAAACAATCCAAAGCAAAACACAATGAAACAAGAGAGTAAGAACATATCTCACTCCAACTATCGATGTAGGAAATGGTCGAGTAGCGTCACACATATAAAAATACATAACATAATCATATAATTCATATATCATTAATTAAAAAAAAATAAATTAATAAGCATTTATTCATATTCTAACACTTCACACATCATGACATCACAATTCAATGTATAAAACATGCTATGCACATGTAAAGACAAAACTCTCTTAACTACATCCATGTGGGGCCAGTAAATCACTTTATCACTACCCGAAGGCTCAGTAGTCTAGGAGTACATGTCAGGTCAAGCAATCACACACTCTCACTAGAAGAAAATACATCAGTGGCGCATCAAGATAGCTATGTTGACCAAGTTTCACCCCACACTCACAACATGGCATGACTAAGGCTCACAAACCTAGTTATCTCCAAGGTCATGAAATCCCTAAGCTTTTATACAAGGAGGACCTTCCCTGATAGTGTATTTCACATCATATCCATCAGACAAAAAATACTTTTATGCAAATGATAAATGTCACACATAGACTCTTATGCACAACCAACAAATTATATTCACATCACATCATATTTCACATCTCACTTCATAACTAAGTCATACTTAGGCTTGTCCACTTGTTTCACTTACACATATCACATGTCTCATAACTTATAAGTTCCTAGATATCATGAACTTTCAATTCTTCTTATACATTATCAATCTTATTGATAGGAAAATCATATACCATTCTTTCACCTCACCTTCCATAGATAACTCACCTCCTCATCCAAAAAACCATGTAGTTCCTTAAACAATACTAAATTAATTAAAGACTCAATTCTAGGTACAAAAGTCGTAGGCATAGGACAACATCGGACATAGAGTGCCTTGCACCCAACACGAACGAGGCCACGAGCCTTTGGAAAGATCACGCTTGGTGCGTTTCTTCTTGTGCCCTATGACACCCTCTACCCCACATGTCATAACACATAATATATTAAATAACTAAATAACCTCATTATAATAGATAAACTCAAAACCATACAGGTAGAGAAAATCATATTTTAACAAAAACTAGACTTAGTGGAAATATTAAATTATAAAGGAATTAAAATTAAACTACTCAAATTAAATAACATAAATCAAATCCTAACTAATCCTAACTAATTTCCCAGTGTCACGTGTTCTATCAAAGCATAACCCTTCTATGACGACTAAGCCTTGTCACCAACATCCTAAACATTATGCTGAAGATCACCTGTAACAACATACAAGAAGAGCAACACAAAACAAGAGGAGTGACAAACATCTCACTTTGGCTCACGACATAAGATGTAGCCAGGCAACCAAACACAAATAAGACACATATTAACATAACATAAACATATTGTTCATATAATATATTCCATTCGTTCACAATATAACAACTATATACCATATTTCATTAAGATGTATTATGAAATGGACACAAACAAAATGTTATCATGCATGTGGCGTCAGTAAAAATATCACATATCATACTTGTGCATTGCCGCTAGCAATACACGTAGAATAGTCTAGGAGTACATGTCGGGTCACACTTTCTGAACACTCTCACTAGAAGGATATACTACTAGGGTCTGGTCAGGATAGCTAAGTTGTGCAAGATACATCCTTTCTCACGAGTGCAGGATTAAGACTTCCAAATCGAGCTATCCCTAAGGTTGGTTCCCAAGCTTTAACATAAGGGACCTTCCCTAGCCTTGTATTCCATATCGTACCCTTTAAAAATATTTTATGCATATGATGCATGTCAAACAGACTTTATATGTTACATTCACGTGGTCTTTTACCATAACACATAACACATCTTATCATATCATATCATGGCTAAGCCTCGCTTAGACTTCTCATCATATGATCCTTACAAGATCAATACATATCAAATGCATCAATGTCAAAGCACATCAATATATTAATGCATAGCTCAAAATGTCATATCAATGACAAACTCACACACTACAACCAGTTATTAAGTAATACAATGTTTACACAACATCATCCAATAAGTAAGAATCATCATGAGATAGTTTAATTATATGTTAGCACCTTAACTATAGCCACTAAGATCAATGTCACTAAGAAATTCTAGCAACTTTATAATTGTCACACATGAAGTCCTTAGATATCGCTATCATTAGAATACCTCAAGTCCTTAGATACCGCTACCATAATTCATTCTTCTTAAACATTGATATAAGTACCTCAAACTATTCATAATATCAAACACTTAAAGGGTAAAATTATTCATCATCCTCATTATAAACTACATTTCCATAACTTAACCTTCCAAGACATCATGTAATTCAAACGTCCTATCTAGAGCTATATATGTGATATCAAGTTGATCTTAATTTTATTAGAAATATAAGACAATTATTTATAATTTCTATGTTTATCCATAAAGCTAATTATGCCATTTATTATTTAAAAAAATACAAAACTATAACGATTCAACCTAAACTTTACAACTTGACCTTTGCTCACTACTTTAATCATAACTTGAGTTATAGACCTTAGTTTTATGTGATTCCAACGGAATTCAAAAGCTAACATCCAAGGTTGCAACTTTCATGAAGATCACAAAACTTAATTCTTCCACTTAAGTCTACTCGAAAAGCTTACAATGTATGCACGTTATATTTCGCATAGAGAATATGAGGTTCATCTTCTAACTCACATAACTCAATCATTCCCTAATATTTTTAGGTGATTCTTAAGTCTAAACTGTAGCTCTAAATGTCTTATTTCTAACCCAAAAATTGGAACTCAATTTCATTAATCACACATAGAGAAATCATATAAATACTAAGTTATGTTCTTACCAGAAATTTCAGAATCTAAAACAACTCACGTTCAAACTCTCTTCTCTCAATCCAATTGCTTAAAATCACAATTTAAGCTTAATACCACTCTGTT